AGAAATTAAATAAGGATTACTTCTGTGAAGGTTCCAATTGGGACAGTAAACAACTTTGCTAGATGGTATTCTCTTCTGCAGAATTCTAATTCATGCAGAAATGCTATGATAATAAACAGTGCCGGCATCTCGTAAGACATAAGGAGAGAGTCCAGAGCTACTATCTATGCCAGAGAGCACAGGGACAAGATTAATCTTTTATTTATTTTGAAGGTATTTGTGTTAGGGTACATTTACTATGCCAGAGAGAGAGAGAGAGAGAGAGAGAGAGAGAGAAAGAGAGAGAGCGAGCGAGTGAGCTCCACAGTGAGAAGGAAAGGGAGAATTAAATACCTGGGGGAGTGAGTGGCCACGCTGAAATCCCTTCGCCTCCATTCTCCTTCTGTGATTCTGGGCTCACATGCACACTCACCTGGCATGATTTTCAAGCCACCAGGTCCAGGACTCGAACCACAGTCAGCCCGTGTGGGAATCCAGTGCCATAACCACTATGCCACCTGTTGGCCCTGAACAAACCACTTTTTCATTGTGTGTATATGAGTGTGGGGAGGAGCTGTATTGCACATTGCAGGATGTTTAATAGCATTCCCTTAGATTCAGTTCAAAAGGAGCCATAACAGAAGTGTCATGGCTAACTGCCCAAATTCCAGGGGTCTATAGAGAGGCAGAGAAGCCTGGTCTACAGTGTGGATTCTGAGAGCCTAAAACTCTGATGTTTTGGCCCAGAAGCTCATTTGCAATTACTGACCACACAGAAAGCCCTCTAAAAATTTTCATTTGCTAGAGGGCTCAAGCAGGGGACTCAAAGAGTCCTCTTGAGTCTTTGTAAACAAGCAGCACAGCCATTACTTGAAATGCTCTGATTTGTTTTAGTGTCTAGAAGAAAGCAAATATACAAAGCTATGCTTGTTCAAATCCCAATCTTACAAAACATTTTTTGTTTTATTTTGTTTTTGTTTTTTGTTGTTGCTGTTTTTGTTTTGTTTGTTTTTTTTGAGATTTCTGCTGTAGGGAACATATGCTCACCAGAAAGACAGACACCAAGAAATCACCCCCTGGGGGGATGGTCACAATGGAATCCCTTCTCCTCCATTCTCCACTCAGGATTTTGCCCATGTAGGCATAATGGGCTGGAAACACTTGAGTTTCCAGCAGCTGGGTCTGGGAACTATGAACTATGGTCAGCCCCAAGAGAGCCCAACACCTTAACCACCAAACCATCTGCTGCTCCCCACAAAAATATTTAAATGAATCAGAATCACTACAGCAAAGTATAGGACACAAGCCACTCAAGAGGGCACCTGGGCCATGGCCACTCCTAGCAGGCCTCCTCCTGTCAACTGTTGCCACTGTCCACACAGCTCCTCGAGCTATAAACATGGGACTCACTCTTCACTCTCATTTTTTCTTGAATCCTAGTACTAAATTCACCACCAAGTCCATATATGTAAATAGATACATATATAGAGAGAGACAGACACATACACACACATACACACACACATGATGTATCCACATGTATCATGTGGAAAGAGGAGCTGGGTATCCCCTTAAATATTTAAGAAGCCCAATGAAGAATTGGGAATTTATGCTGGGCACTGTGCTTTCCTCTTTTTCTTGTCTTTTATTTCCTATCTCCCCTGGACATGATTCAAATTCCATTTAACAATACCCTAAGGGCCCTGTAAAAGGTATCAACAGGGTACCCTCCTATCAAGGTCAATCATCCAGTGGTCACACTAGGTAAATTAACCTGAACACTCACCCTGCTAGAAATGGTCCCATTCATGCCTAAGTTGGCCATTCCTTTAGGCTGTAAGACAGCACACATGAACACCTGCATTCACCTGAGGACTCTTCTTAACACATTGCTCTCAGCATGACAAACAGAATACAAACTGTCCCCAGTGACTGCCAATTCAAGCACACATCCCTGACCTAGCTTCCAATCCACACAGAGATTCAAAGTACAATGTGTATATGGTTGGCCCAACTTTCCAGGCAAATTAAACAGAATATTTTAAATTAAGTGCTATTTGGACTGTTTGGAATGGAACTGTACCATTCTCTACATGGTTCACAAGGCCCTTGGTTCTCTTTGCTCTTTCCTTTTTTACTGAAAGGTCCCTTATGAGTAAATAACATGTATTTTGTACCAAGAGCCCAAAACTCATTTCTGAGAGCCAGACATATCCATTTTATTTTGGCTTATATATTTAAGAATTCCAATGAAGAATTGAGAATTTACACTTTCTACTCCCAACAGTCCCTTTCCTGTCAACTGTTGCCACTGTCCACACAGATCCTCAAGCTACATACACGGGACTCACTCTTGACTCTTATTTTTCCTTTAATTCCAGTACTAAACAGACTACTAAGATACTTGCATATAAATACTTGGTCATCAGAAAAGTTACGACACATTATTTGCATAGAAAAATACGTCATGACTTTTCTGACAACCCAGCATATAAATGTATGACATACATACAGCACACACATACACACATATATGTTGTACCCAGATATATAATACACGCATACACACACACACACACACACACACACACATGTTCTATACATTTCACTACATCTTCACGATCCCTGTGCTCTAGGCCTCTGGTAATACCATTATCATTGCCCAAGGATTTCTTAGAAAGGCAAACACTCAAGCTTATCCCACTCCCAAGCCTTCTGCATCAGAAGCTTTGGAGATTTGCCCCATATTCTGTTTTCACCAGTCCCCCTCCAGATAACCCTGATACACCCTGAAGTCTGAGAACCACTTCAGCGAGCCACCCTATTTTAGCTAGACAACTGCGATACACTTTTAATTGGTCTTTCTACACCCACCCTTGCCCCTCCAATTCATTATCTTCCCAGCTGTTATAGCAATTTTTAGTCCTAAATGGGATGCAGTCACTCCCTTTGCTTAATATCTCTTAATGGCTTTAAAATGTATTCAGAATAAAATTAAAATTTTTTATCATGGCCTACAAGGGACTGCATTAATATGGCTCTCACCTTTTGCTCTAATATCTCCTCCTATTCCTTCTTTATTCTCCCTTACTGATTACACCATCACCGTGTCAGTCTTTCGACCTGCTAGGGTACTCATTATCTTTGCATTGCTGGTTTCTCATCCAGAAAGCTCCTCCCTCTGCACCTCCATTACTCTCTCCCCAACCAGCCCTCTGAGGATGCTGTGTAGTTTTCACACACATATCCACTTACTTGTATACTTGGGACTCATAGATGGCCAACGTTACCAGGACAGAGACAACCCTTCTTTCATTTTCCAGTGTTCACGTCCTTGTTGCATCTCACAGTGCTTGTCACATGGTAGATATCCAAAAACCAACAACCAAAATTAATCCAGTGGCCAAATACCGTTTCCATTAAGGATCCGATACAAACCAAACAAAATAAAATCAAACCAGCATTGATGTTGGTTCTTAAACAGAATGCTTTAAAAACTTCCAAGTAATATATAAAGTTGGTAAATGCAGGTTGGGGATTCCTTCCATACATGAAAAAATTACACATGCCATAAATTCAACATGGTACAGGGGGTTATGCTAGGTAAGATTAAGGTACGTATTTAATCTCCTGAGTTTCACTGTAATCCTATTACTTCATATGTGTACCATAGACATTGACTCTCTTTCACTGATCCTGGCTGATCCAGTTTTATATCATACAGGCAATGCCCATTAAATACATACTTTGGACATGTCAGCCAGGCTATACTGCTTTAATTTTGCTTTTGATCACTATCCCTTGGTTGGGTTGTTTGTTTTTTGTTTTTTGCTTGAAAATGTCATGTGTCTTAAGTTTGGGATAATTTTAAGCTTCTACTCCAATCCTTGGCATTTGTCTCAGTCAAGGCTGGATTTTGCTATCTAGTGCCAGCCATCCATTCCCAGATATCAGATCACGATCCTTTGGAATCAATGTTAGTTCATCCCCTGGGATGGTAGATGCAGGAGGAGAATTGCACAGGTAGAAGCAAAAATAGGCCAGGTAAGGTGCAAAGAAGGTAACTGGCCTGTGGTGGCTTTATTCCTCCCTATATGCACAATTCTTTCTCCTTAAGAACCATGACCCATGCCCCTGCCTCCTAAGGCAGCAGTTCTGCTCTCTGCTCCCAAGAAGCATTGCTCTTAATAATGTCCTAAGTATTTCCTAAGGTAAAGACTGATAAAGGTCAATGGCCTATTTTTACAGATTTGGAAGAGGTATTGTAGGCATTTCTAAGACATGAACTGTGAGTGTTAATTTTATGTTTTACATGATTGGGTCGTAGGGTGTCCAAATATTTGGTCAAATACTCTGAGTATGTCAGTGAGAGTATTTCGGATGAGATTAATGTTTGAACTGGAAGTTAATTAAATTGCCCTCCCCTTATCTAATCATGTTATCTGAATGAAGTAAGAAGCCCAAGTGAGAAAGAATTATTTCTTTTTGCCTGATTCTCCTTGAGCTGGGACATCAACCAGAGAACCTCGGCATAGACTTGTATGAGGAAGTGGATGCTTACTCGAGGGCATATTTTACAGAAAGAGGAAGATTTATGAAAATACTAGCACTCCCAATACTCAAATAATCTCAGTATAAACCAGAGTGATTCACTAAACTGCATTATAATAAATACATAAAAAACAAACAAAAGTAAATACAAAAGGAAGGATAGAAAGAACAGAAATTCAACCTGGAGAAGAATCTATGAAAATGTTAGTTGGTAACTTGTTTGTTGAGCAATGTCAGCCTCAGATTACATGAGATAATTCACACAGGTACTGAGCATCATGCACAAAACTCAGTGTGCATTTCTACGGCCATCATCGTTATACTCCTTCTGGGTATCTGCTGATGCCCGTAACGTGTGGTGTGTTTCCTGGAGTACGCACACACGCAAGTAAGAAACAGCTGCCTCACTGAGCAAATTCTAAGTCTGTCCATTCACCACACAAGGGGAGAGAAGACAAAGTAGAACTCACATTCAGCTGAAGTTCATCTGTCCACTGTCCAATCAGACGGTAACCAGGGTTAGTGGTGTTTGTCGCCTGATACTGAAAGATGTCATAACGCCCAGGTGCATCGCCATTCTTGTTGAACATAACTGGGGTTCCAGCACTGCCTGAGGAAGACAAGCGAGACAGACTTCAGAGATAAGCAAGATTTCTTCTCTCTCTTATGCTAGGGGTGACAGTCTGGAGGCTTATTGAAGAACCAGGTAGTTAGTTGATATCCCTCCAGATAATCCTTGGAATGTATAGGCAAAGCATTCCTGTGGCCATTAATGCTAATTATAGAAGATAGGATGCATGGGACCAGCAGATGGTGTGATGGTTAAGGTGCTGGACTCCCACATGGTTGACTATGGTTCAAGTCTTGAACCTGGTGGCTTGTTTTCTCATTCCCCTCATCCATTCTGGTAAGCACACATTTTTTTCTTTCTGAGGAATGAAGTTGGTAGGTATTATTTTTCAGAGACAATGTTAAGTTTTACTACAGTTCTACTGATCATAATTATTATTTCAGTTCTTGTGTAAGATTAAATTGTGGCCAGTAACAATTCCAAAAATAATAATTAATAATTTGATTTTGGCAAGGAAGTGTAATACAAAAACAAATAAGTAATCAAGCAAAAACATTTTATTTAAATATATACTTGAATATTGCTTGCATTAACATTTTTTTTTTTGGCTGATTACTTCCATTTTATATGCTAGCTAGTATAAAATGTTTACAAGTATGCCTAGCAGGTGTTCAAGTCAATTTTGGTTTCTTTCTCAAACTCCCATTTTGGTCTTAAAATATCTATCTTAACATGCAATCAATTATCTTGGCAGAATTACACATTGAAATAAATTTAAATAGACTAATGCATTAATTGAATGTGTATGCATGTCCTTTGACAAATAGATGAGTGAAATATCATTGACATGAATCGCATGAGATGAGAGAACTGGAGTATGTCTTAAGGAAGAAGCATGAAACACTTTTAATAATTGCTGATTGTAAATTTAAGACATTAATGGGGGAAGAGTTGTGCATCTGTTTAGCAAAGACTTGAGCTTCTTCAGAATGTGGGCCAATGTGAATATTTCCATTCATAACATGAATGGAAGGGAAAAAAAGGGCACATGTCATGACTTAGTAGGTGAGGTGTTACAGTTATGTTTAGTGTAGTCAGGGGCAACTCAGTGAGGAACACTCAGTTCAAAATGGTGGAAAGGTTAAGAAGATAAGAAGGCAGAGATAAGAAGGCAGCCTGCCTAGAAGCCCTAACGGAGGTGGGGAGTATTTGGGTTATGAGCACTCAAGCAACAGGTGGGAGCAAGTGAGAAAGGGGGTATCCTATGGGTCAAAACCTTTCTTGGGTTCAGGGTGTTGCCTAGGTGGCTTTCCTGGGATGGGTTAGACTGTTAACTTGAGTGGAGCACACAGCTAAGCATGGAAACTCAAGTTTGAACTCAAGGGTTGAATTCCTGGGCTGTCCAAGCTTCAATCAGAGTCAGGAGGTTCCACGACTCAGAGTATTAGGACACACAATAGGAAAAGGATGAAGAACACGAAAACAGAAACTGGGTGGAGACAGCCTCAAACTATTTAAATTGAGGGTACCAAGGTGAGGACAGGAAGTGAGATGGATACCAAGTATTAATCTGAATGGACTTATGATAGCACGTTAACTGAACAGAATGAAAGTGTGCTTAAAACAGCAATGAGGGAGAAAACAAAACAAAACAAAAAACAGACCAACTCTTGACAAAGCAGGCATGGTGTAGAGTGATCCCACACAAATGATTAATCAACACAAGAATGGAGTTAAAATAAGAGTCCAAAAAGAGGCCGAGCAGGTGGGGTGGTGGTTAAGGCGCGGGGTCCCACACAGCCAACCACAGTTCATGTCCTGGATTTGGCACTCAGAAGTCACACCCACCGGACGCATGTGTGTGGTACATGAAGGTGGAACTTTGTGCTGAAAGCTATCCCTACTGGAATAGAGGAGAGCTAAGCAACTGCACATCATATTACAGATACAATTACTGGCCTCAGGATCTTATGACACTACTGTGTGTTAAAAAAGAAAAAAAAAAATCAAAGCTTGTGGTAGGCTGAATAATGGCCCAAGGGTATCTATGTGCTATTCTTCAGAACCTGTGAATGCTGCTTTACAGAAATAAAAAAGAAAAAGCTATGTAATTCAGTTCTATAGTAGGTGAGATCAGACTAGGTAATCTAGGTGGGGCAAATGTAACCACAAGTGTCTTTATAAGAGGACTCCTCTGTGAAGGTAAAAGGAGATGTCAGGATGAAAGCAAAGAGTTGGAGTGATGCAACGAGGGGTCACAAGCTAAGGAATGCAAGTGGGCCCCAGTAGCTAGAAAAGGCAAAGAAGAGCCAGCTGGTGCAATGGTAGTTGAGGCAGCCGGATCCCACATGGTAGACTGCACTGTTCAAATCCCAGATGTGGAAGCTCAAAGACCATGCTGTGTGTGTGTGTGTGTGTGTGTGTGTGTGTACGTGTGTACCCCAGATCCTGAGAGGAGACCAGAGAAGGTAATGAGGCATGGCTGTACCCCTAGGGGCTGCTTTTTCCCTTTCCCTCTTACTCTGTCTCTCACATGTGCCCTCTACTAAACTTAAAACTAAATGTAACCAAAAAAGTCAAGGACGGAGTTCTCCCCAGAGCCTCCAGAAGTTATCAGCTCTGCCTTCACCAACATCCGGTGAGATCTGTATTGAACAGGGGGACTAGGAGTCCAAGAAATAAATTTGTGTTGCTTATGCCACTGACTTTGTGCTAATTTTTATGGTAGCAATAGGAAACTAATACAGAACTCGAGGATAACAACAAAGTTCCTAACTTTACAGGTGAGGAAGCATACTTAAGTCAGC